GCCCAAGAGACAATGGGTGTGCTTTCAGCTCAAGAGACGATGGGTGTGCTATCAGCTCAAGAGACAATGGGTGAGCTTTCAGCTCAAGAGACCATGGGTGTGCTTTCAGCTCAAGACCATGGGTGTGCTTACAAGGTTGTGAGCTGCAGGAGGTTGCCAATGGACTCTGGGATGCTGCCAGTCAGGTTGTTCCAAGAAAGGCACCTGGTGCAGGAACGACAGTTGCAGGGAAGAAACTCCCAGAAAGATAAACAGGGCTTGTGACCATGTTGTACTAGAAACAAGACAGGTAATAAATGTGAGTCAACCTATACAGTAAATGAGTAAAGAAAAAAGGCAATCACTATGAGTTGAATCATGTGAATCGAAAATATCTCAAAGTGAGCAGTAAAACGAAGGCATGTGAGCTGATGTCATTACAGATAATATTCAGAGGCTAACGAAGAAAATGCCTCACTGTTTATCTAATGAAAGAACTTACAATTCAGACAAATAAATCAGGTTGCCTATCACGGTGGGTATTGACCCTGTCATTTTGTTTCCCCATAGAAATCTGCAATTTGTACCCCGGGGATGTCAAGGAACAACGCTGAGAACAGAGGGTGCTTAGCATCTATCTGAAACATCTACAATTTTATCTTTTCAAGTAGGTCAGGGTAAAAAATGCTCCCAGGTCTGCACGCATCATCGGTCGATATTATAAAAGGGATGTCAACTGGAAAGTGCTGTTTTGGATCAAGGACAGGTAGGCACAGCGTGCAACGAGGCGAGTAACCACTTGCCTCATTTTTCTTATGCGGCAAGGGCGAGTAGCAAAACGTGACGCAAATGACATTTCGTGGATCGGCGAGATTGGTCACGAATTGCAGAGTTACTTTGCAATGCGTGCAAATGTTGGACATAGGTTTACAGATTCCAGGCTCATCGGCTTGAATCTTAATTTGAGCTTGCGAATCGTCCCTTGCACTGATTGAACCCCCCGGTTGCACATGATGCACGCACCACCACGCCCTAAGGGCTCAATGCGGGAGGGGGTTGCTAAGAGTGAACTCAAGGGCCCCTACAGCCACAGTTGCAGGCAATGACAACATGCCATGCAAAATGAGGATTTTTTCTTTCTTTCTTCTTCGTTTAGCGCCTTTGGAGCTCAATGAAGCACTCACAAGGCGTTCAGATTTGTGAGCTTGCCAATGGAGTCAGGAATGAGGCCTGTCAAGAAGTTGTAGCCAAGGTTCCTGACATTGGAGGGATCATGATGGGAGCATGACAGAAGGCACACGCACATGTGATGATGGAAAAGGTATCGGTAGCATTAGGTTACACAATATGGCAAGGAGCAGTATTTCCTATATCAGCATTGCTGACATCTGATTCCTGCATCTTCAGCTTAGCTAGTTCAACGTATTCATATGGAAAAAACTTACCACCTTAACATCTTGCCATTTTTCCTTGTTATCCGTCGCATTGAGGTGATTTTTGAGGCATCTCACAACAAGTCAAGCATCTCACAACAAGTCAAGCATCTCAAAACAAGTCAAGCATCTCACAACAAGTCAAGCATCTCACAACAAGTCAAATCAGGCGACTCACAAATCTCCGAGGTCTGACAGGTTGGCTAGAGAGGCTGGTATCGTGCCATTCAGTTCGTTTGAATGTAGATATCTGCTCTTCATGGGAGTGAGGATGCAAAGAGCAGATTAGAAACCAAAGCCGAGATCGTGGTGGATGAAGAGGCATAATGGTCGTACTTGATCACTGGGTGGCAGCTCTTGATCGTACAGAGTGGCACACGCCGAGCACTTAGAAAGGGTGGCAAGCCAGAGATGACCCACAACAACGGTGTCGAGAATAAGGATGTGGTGTGGATGTGATGTGGGTGGGTCCCATGGCATGTGGTGCGCATATGATGTGGGTGGCTCACATGGCATGTGGTGGGCATGTGATTTGGGTGGGTCACATGGCATGTGGTGCGCATGTGTTTTGGGTGGGTCACATGGCATGTGGTGCGCATGTGTTTTGGGTGGGTCACACGGCATGTGGTGCGCATGTGATGTGGGTCACATGTCAGTTCACGACAAGCAGCGGCACTCACAAGCGAGCAAGACTTGGGAGATTGCCAAGAAAGTGAGGAATGGTGCCTATCATGCTGTTGTACCCAAGGTTGCTGATGGGATGGGAACGAGAGACACGAGGCATTCGTAGGGCATGTATAAGGTATGTGCAAAGAGCTGAAAAAAAGAGCAGTGACACTATGTTGTTTTCCATGGCTGCTCTTGGACGCTCATGGTCGCTCATGGACGCACATGGACACTCATGGTCGCTCATGGTCGCTCATGGTCGCTCATGGTCGCTCATGGACGCCCATGGTCGCTCATGGTCGCTCATGGGCGCTCATGGTCGCTCATGGTCGCTCATGGTCGCTCACGGTCGCTCATGGTCGCTCACGATCGCTCATGGTCGCCAATGGTCGCTCACAGTCGCTCATGGTCGCTCATGGACGCCCATGGTCGCCCATGGTCGCTCATGGTCGCCCATGGTCGCTCATGGTCGCTCACGGTCGCTCATGGTCGCTCATGGTCGCTCATCGTCGCCCAAGATCGGTCTAAGCTTAGTGAGCTTCATTTCCTCTTCATTCAGGAACAGATGCAACAAAAGCGTGAACGTGGCTGTGCAGATAGAGAAAGTCAAACGGATCCCATTGCATGCCATGGCATCCCATCACGTAGCATCGCATTGCATCCCATTCCATCCCAATCCCATCCCATCGCATCACATAAGATCATCACATCACATCAAATCACAACATAGTACATCACATCACAACACAGTACATCGCATCGCATCACATCACATCACATCACATCGCAAAACGTAAAATGGAATGGAGTGAACCAAAAAAATGCTGTAAAACTTCACATCTCTTACAATCGAGTAACTCACAAGTATGTCAAAGATACAAGGCTGGTGAACGTTGCTGGTATGGAGCCAGTCAGCTGGTTTTCAACCAGTTGTATGCATCTCGGAAATAGGGTGCAAAAAGGGAGTAATGGGCAGACAGAGGTTTGTGAGTACGAGCATGCATCCTCGACTGATTATGCTATAGCAACAATAACAGGCGGTGAGCAAAGAATCTAGGAGTCCCTCGGCTGGTGCCACATGCACAGACTACTAGGAAAATGCTTGGTGTTCAATTCTGGACTAAGGAACTAAGTCCCTAGATCAAGCTTAGACGAGCACAGCACTCAGCGTATGCCAGGTTGACGGCTTAGCCTAGTCAAGATCAAGGATCAAAATGACAGTCGTTTTTGTAATTTCACCGTTTAAAACGGTATTGAAATTACGGTCGTTTTTAACGGTAAAATACGGTCAGAATGTTCGTTTTACGGTTGGTTTAAAATACAGACGTTTATTTCGGCCGAAATTTTGAAACCGAGTCACAGTATAGCGGAACTCGAATTTATCAACCGTCATTCTTTCCCTGTTCAATTCCGCCCCCCTGAATCCCATTGAATGTGTTTTTTTCCGCGATGCGCGATTTTTGGCAAACACCCGAAGCGCGACATTTGAGCATTTGGCGAAAGGGTCAACACATGTTGACCCGTTTCGCTTTGTCATTTCAGCTTTTCGCCGAAGCGCAACGAGTTCTTTTTAGCAAGGCGCGGCAAATGCTACGAAATGTTTGAATGTTTCGCGTAGTTGTTGAACAATTTCGCGCCCCCTTTTTGGTTTTCGCCAGCACGCGCGACAAACCCAAACTTCGCGATGCGAACTCATTTCAGCTAATCAGAGTTGCACACTTTCCATCCCTCTCATCACCCCTTCCTCAAATTCCATTCGACAACGCATGCCCAGCAAGCGTGGTCCATCAAGGTACTAATAGTAGCTGCAGAAACGATTCAACACATTCTAGCGTCAGATTTACCTTAGCTATCTCACTCACATCAGCAGAGGCCATGGTGAGACCTTTATCGGACCTATGGAAGCACGTGGACAAGGAAACATCTAACGGCATCGTAGTTAGTGCGACTTGCAAGCATTGCGGGGACGCCGTTACTCCTAACACGACACGTACTAGGGATCATATGTATGGGACTCCAGCTAACAAACTGAAGAACGTGACCATGTGCGGTTCAGATCCCGCTAAGCTACTTCGAGCGGAAGCCGAGAGTGAACGTGACACCACCGGGGGTTGTTCTAACCGTGCCTCCTCGTCCTCGGTTGAGCTTCAGCCCGCGCGTTGTGCAAGGCAACGTGGCATCCGCGACATGGCGGACGATCTTGCTCGCGGGCGCCTGGACTACCTGTGGTGTGCAGCTGTGGCGGAGAACGATCTCGCGTTCAACGTTTCCAAGTCTAAATCGCTCCAAGCGTTTGTTGACGCGTCCATCAGTTTTGCGAAGCCTTACACTCTCCCCACACCCTACAGGTCTCGGGCCCGCTGCTTGACAAGCTCAAGGCTGATACGGAAGACCTCGTTAAGTCGCTCAAGGAAAGCTGGAGCACGAGCGGGTGCTCACTCTCAGTGGACGGGTGGACGTGCATCAAGTCACGAGGCATGGTATGCGTCATCGCGCAAAACGACACGGCCCCCGTCATAGTTGACATCGTTGACTCGAAGACAACAAAGAAGACTAGAGCGTACCTAGCGGGACTGATTGGCAATGCGTGTTAGTGTTAGCCCTCAATCTCACACTTTGTACTTTATATTTTCTATATCCTAGAGTAGTGTAGTTTGCACTTTGTGTTTGGTTGGGTGTACACCTACATCCCAACCAAACCCAAATGTAATCTCCAAGCAATCTTCTACCCACCAATTGGAAATTGCCTTGGGATTACCCCCAATCCTTAGGGATTGCCCCCGATTTCCTTCCTCATCCATTCCTTGCCCTTCTTGGATGTACTTAAAGAGCTTCAAGCTCATTACTAATGTATCAGTTCTAAGCTTAAGTTCTGACAATGCGATCCGCTCGGTGGGCCCCAAACGAGTCGTCCAAGTCACCATGGACATCGCGTCCAACAACAAACGGGCGGCCGCGTTGCTTACCCCCGATTTCTCCCATGTCTTCTTCACGAACTGCGCCGCGCATGTGTTGGACCTCATGTTGCACGACTTTGGGAAGATTCGGGCGGTGCAACGCGTCCTAGCCCAGGTTCACCGCGTGGTTATGATGGTGAAGGGGAGCGCCTCCGTCGTCGTGCTTTTCCGGGAGCTCTTCACCAAGTTGTCGTTGGTCCGCCCTGGTGCAACGCGATTTGGGACCCAAGTGATAATGGTCGCCGCTTCTTGGAGGTAAAGAAGGCGCTTCGGGCGATGGTGATTAGTGACGAGTGGGAGGAGGTGGCGGTGGCATGGACGGAGGAGGGGAAAGCGGTCCGCACACTCCTATTGGATGATGTGTTTTGGGACTGCGCCATTGCAGTCCATCGCCTCATGACTCCGGTCTACGAGGTGCTTCGGGCTGTTGACAAACGCACTCTAGTGATGGGGCAGATATATGGCCGCATGCTAGAGATGACAGTCCAAACGAGCGAGGCTGCTGTGGCGGCAGGTAAGCAGCTTACTGCTTTTGGTATAAGCCATCGTGATCCCCATCCCAAAACAGCCACTAAAATGTCCGTGTTTCTCTCCCTCCACAGCGTCAATGTTCGTCAAACACACAGGCCTGCTGGCGGCAAAGGACAAGCCGTCCTTCATGGACTTCATCAGGGCAATCGTGGCCAAGAGATGGGATGGCCAGCTACACAATCCGTTGCATGCCATGGGGTGGCTTCTCAACCCCCGCAACCAGTACGTGGGGGAGGTGAGAAACGACAAAGAGGTAAGGGCAGGGGCGGATGAGGTCATCCAAGCCCGTGGTGGGGACGTGGCTAAGCGCACATTGCTGTGCGCTCAGCTGGCCCAGATCCACAAAGGAGAGGGGCGGCTTGGCTCTGACGACGCCCGTTGGGCAGCCACGACTTTGGTGGAGGGGGGGCGCTTGACGGATGCGGAATGGTGGTGGATGTATGGTGGGGAGGTCTAGGCGCTTCATGAGCTGGCTGTGATGGTGCTATCACAGCCAGTCACCTCATCCGAGGTGGAGCGGTACTGGTCCGCCCTTGCTCGTGTGCAAAGGCGGGACCGGAACTGCTTGGCCGCCACCAAGATGACCGACGTCACCTATGTTGCCTTCACGAGGAGGGCTCGGGACGCCTTTGATCGGAGGCAGGGTGTGCGTGAGAAGCTGTACCGTGACCTGAGCAACGGCACCCTCAAGGAGGGCTGCACCATCACCCCGGTCTCAGCTGAAGCGTCAGAAGAGGGGGCTGGAGTAGTGGAGGAAGAGGAGGAAGGGTCTACTACCATCAACTGGGGTGAGTTCGGGAGCATTGGCAAGAAGAAGAGGAAGATGAATGCGGGAGAGTCCTCCAAGAGGAAGAGGAAGGGGAAGGGGAAGGTTCCATGAAAGAGAAAGGGGAAGGGAAAAGTAGTGGAGGAAGAGGAGGAGGAGGCGGCAGACTGCAGTGGGGGGGAGGAGAATGAGACGGGCAAGAAGACCCGTGATGGCAGCGATCCTAGGGATCTCAGCGATGGTGATAGTAGGGAGGAGGAGGAGGAGGAGGAGGAGGAGGAGGAGGAGGAGGAGGAGGAGAGGGCGGAAGAAGAGGATGAATAGGATCAGTAGGGTTGAGTGGGGGGGGGGGGTAGGCTTGTGAGCTGGAGGAGGAGGAGTAGTAGGATGGCGGGAAGGTGGTAGGGGAGGATCGGTAGACTAGAAGAGTGAGTAGGGAGGGAGGGAAGAGATAGAGAGTAGGGGCAGTTATAGATGTAGTCGTAGTTAAATAAATGGCAGTAGCCCATTGTAGGCTTGTTTCTTAGTCATTGTTTATGTGCTGAACATTCCACTGCAACATTTTATGCATTTCAGAACTTTCTGCAAAAAATCCCCTTGCAAAAAGTTTCCAATAAAAAGCAGTCGTATTAAAAAAAAAAATTGACCGTAAAAAACGACGGTAAAAAACGGGCCGTTTTATACTCTGACCGTATTTTTCATCCTTCAGATAAACAAACACGGATGGAAGACATGACTGAACGAACTACTACTTGCATCAACTATAGTACATTGCAGTCAAGACCATCCACAAGACCAGTGCCACTGCTGCCGAGTACAAGAATGCGGGGTCTGGTTGGGGCCAAGGTGCAAAAAAACGACGTATGTTCTTCAGATTTTTACCATTAAATACCGTATCGTAAAGAACGACCGTTAAAAACGATTTTTTTTTTTTTTAATTGGTGGAAAAAAAACGTCGTTTTTTCAGTAAAAAAACCAAACTGCTGATGTAACAAGGGTTTTTTTCCGTGAGTAGAACGAGGGGGCTGTTAGAAGTGCTGCTGATGCACCAGGAGATGGTTACAAGTGTTTTTTCGCACCACAACAGCATCCCTGAAATTGAAGCCCTTTTTTGTCTAACAAAATTTTGCCGTTTTTTTCCCAAACGGTACCGTAAAAAACCATCGAAAAAAAACAATCGTATTTTTCCACAATCGTTTTTTCCACCTTGGTTGGGGCTCATATGTCAATGAAACGAGGGACAAAACTAACATATGGTTGGAAACGAGGCACACGACTCGCACATGATAAGCAAACGAGGAACAACAGCAATAACAATATGTCAAGGTTATGGAAGATAATTTTGTTGTGAGACATCTCAGAATAAATTTATCTTCATGTGTTATCCGAACGAGGAACAGCATTAACAAAACGATCTGTCAAGTCTACATGTTATCCGAACGAGGAACAGCACTAACAAAACGATCTGTCAAGGCTACGTGTTATCCGAACGAGGAACAGCACTAACAATCTGTCAAGACTCTTGAGATTGCCGAGGGATGCAGGGGGGGTGCCACTTAAGCTGTTGTAACCAAGTTGCCTGATAAGCAGATGAACACAGAGGGCATGCATACAGAGCAAATGAACCGAGCATTACTAGCCTCATTTCTCATGGGTAATCAGCTCGAGATCAGCCGGCTGCCATGAGTGGCATACAGTAAGGCAGGAACATCCCAGAGGAGTTTGCGAGCCGTGAGATTGGAATCAGCCTGCTGGCTCTAGCTCGCATGCATGGCTTGCGACGACAAGCCATGCGGCAAGTGACAAGCCGACAAAAGGCTCGTCTCAACGCCTCCGTCCGCCCCCTTCCTCTACTTCCCACCCTCCCCCTGGCTCGTCCACGTTGCCTGAGATCCTGAGCCAATACCCGCGCACATGGTCAGCTTGTCTCAGGTCGATTCAGGTCGGCTCAGGTCGGTTCAGGTCGGGTCATATCGGTCGGGCCAGGTCAGGTCAGGTCGGTTCGGGCCATGCAAGGGACAACCTCTACTGGGTCAAGTCGTGCCGGCTCGGCTCGGCCCTTTTACCCAGAGGAATAAAATCGATCCAAGGTTGAATATTAGCAAATTAGAGTGTTAGGCTAGCAGAGAAAGTGAGGCTGGATTACAATGCACACATTGTCCAGCAAAGTAGCTGGCCGAGAAACTCACATTTTGGACAGATTCCGAAGGTTGCCAATAGTAGCTGGTATCGGGCCAGTCAGGTTACTGTTCCATAAAGTCCTGCATTTGTGAAAAAAAGGATGGTTGTTTGTGAGGGACTGAAGGCGAAATAACGAGCTCGCCAGCATCAAGTGAGACTTGGAACGAAACGACATGGCTCACAATCTTGAAAAGGGTAACATGTCCTTTCTTTGTGGCGCCTCAAAACCAGTCGCACACCAGGTCCAGGTCCAGGAGGCACAGCACGCACACAAGGTGTGGGAGCCTCACATGCCCACCCAAGGAGGAGCGGCACTCACAAGAGGGTAAGGCTTTGCAGGTTGGTGATGGAGTCCGGGATTGTCCCATTTAAGTTCTCGTCAGAGATCATTCTGATGAGCGGACGTTGGAGTGGAGAAGAGGTCAGTTGCATTAGTAATGGAGGGAGAAATGGAGAGATACTTCTGTTGATGGGTGGACATTGAAATGGAGGAGAGGTTTTCTTTAGTCAACTGAAAAGTCGACTGAAAACCCGACTCAAAATTTGACGGAGTCCGTGATTAAGGGCCCATGAGGGTCCACTCCCATGGCTTTTTACAGCTCTCGCAAATGTCGTTTTGCATCTGAACCATCGGGGTCCCCTCACATCTGAATCATCAGGGTCCACGAGGGTCCATGGGGGTCCAATCCCATGGCGTTTTACATCTGTCCGCTCACAAATACCCGCTCACACCTGAACCATCGGGGCCCCCTCACATCTGAACCATTGCGAGCCGCTCACATCAGAAGCATGAGGGTCCATCCATGAGGGTCCATGAGGGTGCATGAGGGTCCACGAGGGTGCATGAGGATGAGGGTGCATGAGGGTCAATGAGGGTCAATGAGGGCCAATGAGGGTCAATGAGGGTCAATGAGGGTCAATGAGGGCCAATGAGGGTCAATGAGGGTCAGTGAGGGTCAATGAGGGTCAATGAGGGTCAGTGAGGATCAATGAGGGCCAATGAGGGCCAATGAGGGTCAATGAGGGTCAGTGAGGGTCAATGAGGGTTAATGAGGGTCAGTGAGGGCCAATGAGGGTCAATGAGGTTCAGTGAGGGTCAATGAGGGTCAATGAGGGTCAGTGAGGGTCAATGAGGGTCAATGAGGCCCGATGAGGGTCAATGAGGGCCAATGAGGGTCAAAGAGGGTCAATGAGGGTCAATGAGGGTCAATGGGGTTTCATAAGGGTGCATGAGGGCCCACTCACATCTCAGTTATCATGCCATGAGAATCGCACGTGACACTGCTCGCGTTGTCGCAGTCCCCACCAGCCACCCAGCCGTCAAACGTTGTGCTCCACGCCTTCTGACAGTCCAGCAGGACTTGCGCTAGCGGCAGGAAGAGGGGAGGGGGGGAGTGGAAGGGAGAAGAGCAGGGCAGCCATTGGAAGAGAGGAAGGCAAAAATTGGAACGGAGAGGATGCAAATGGTGGTCCACACACTTCTCTCGTTGCATGCCCCCCACATCTCATCAGTCTCCCTTCTCTCATCACACGCCCTCCTCGCATCATTTGCCTTCCACCTCTCTCATCGCATTCCCTCCCTCCCATTTCATCACATTCCCCCACCTCATCGCTTGCTCTTCCACTTCAACCCAGTGTACGGGAAGGGCGATAGAAGAACGAGGAGGGCACAGGGGCCAGTGAACAGAGAATGTAACGCCTGCTGGCTAGTAGAGTTGAAGGGCATCTGCTGTGCCTCAATAACACCCTAGAGTTGTACCAGACGCTGGTTCAAATCTCGGCTGGTCCACATTTTCCGCATAGCGAACCTGTAACGCCTGCGGGCACGCAAGGGTTGAGTGCCTCCTCTGCGCCTCACATATAAACTTCGTTTTGACCCAGCGGGTTCTGAACCCTCGTAAGGCTCTGAGACCAATATAACGCCTCGCTACCCACTGGATCAAAACGAGGGTTACGGAACCGGAATTTGGTTACCTTCCCCAGCGAGATCTAGGTTCCTGCGGGGGGCAACTCCCTGATTTTCTGAGCCAACAAGGACGATGGCACCAGCCTGGTGTGTACGGGAGTGTATCGCCCGCCTCGTACTAGATTTTATTGCGTGGTTTCTGATCACCATTGTATAATACATGGTGATGTATCATGTCGGAAAATGAGTCACCTCACGGTGACGTGACGATGTCACCCCACGGTGACGCAGACCGAGACTACTTAAAGGTTTTTTCAGCACGCGCCGCGATACAGTCATTGACTCAATGGCGTCGGATCATGATGATCACTGTGTAATGGCATCGCGGAGCGGCACGCACCCTGTGACTTGGCGAGAGGCACGCATTCGACGCGCGAGACCGCGTGACACGTCAGCAGCAGCAGCGAGCCGAGCAAAAGGGCTGGTGCGGGCTTCATCACGACTCTGGAAGTAGAGAACAAAATGACTCTGGGTGGGACTTGCGTTTCCAGTTGACATGACAGGATGGCATGGCATGCTGTTTTCAGGGGGATTTGATGAGGACATGCCATCCATCCAACTGGATGGAAAGGAATTGGATGAACGTGAGGGTCGCAATGGCCCACAAATACAGTTGATGCCCAGCCCAGCCTTCGCTCGCCAACTTTTCCTTATTAAATGGACTAAACCGAACTATTCTTTGTTGCCTGCCTGGCCGCGGTCGTTACGGGAAAAAATGGGACAGTACGAAAAAAACAACTACGAAGTTATTGATGACAGCGCGAAGAGATGTGTGATCAACGGCTGAGATCAAGCCACGCGACTGTAACGTAGGCTCCATTGCCCGTACAGAGTGGCAAAAGGGACAGGGAAACTGAAATTGAACAGTAAACTTTCCGCAATTAAGCCTGGGCATCAGCTGTATGGGGGGAGTAGCGCCGCCGACAGAAAATGTTCTGTGGGAAAGGGGGCAGACAGGCGGGCACGCACACACCCGCCGGGATTCCGCTTCACATGTGCAGTGCAACCAAACGGTGTTGATGGCAGTCGAAGCAGTCAAGAGGAGTGAACGCGGAGCAGTGAATGTGTGAAGGATTGGGTGCGCTGGGGAATGATTGACTGCCCATATCAAACAGACTGACAGCTGTAATCTCTTGTCTTTTACGGTTCTAGGAAGCAGTACACGCCCTCGCCAATTTCACGCCCCGTCAGTCCTTCCTTGAAACCAAACTGACTGTTTTTGGCTATAGGGATCAGACACCCACGAACTAGAGGCTATCCGAGGCATTGTGAAGTTACGATGTTGGCCCGTCTGACGTTGAGACCGCAACGCAAAGACTGAATCTTCCACTGCGACCATGTTTCTTTTGTTTTTCCACTGACTCATGTGCGTAGTTCTGTCAGAATCCCAACCACTAGACCATTGGGATAAAAGGGCTTGTTTCAGTAGCGGGTCAGTGCGCCCATAACCCCCCAGGCAAACGCGCCTGTAACCCCCCCTAGGATCGATCGGGGATCTCACAGTGTAGCTCTACTGACACCCCCCCACACTGGGAGGCCCAGGACTGAGTACAGTGGCAACGGCCAACATGTGCATACACCGGGATTCGAACCCGAGACCGCTCTGATACCATGTCAGAATCCCAACCACTAGACCATTGGGATAAAAGGGCTTGTTTCAGTAGCGGGTCAGTGCGCCCATAACCCCCCAGGCAAACGCGCCTGTAACCCCCCCTAGGATCGATCGGGGATCTCACAGTGTAGCTCTACTGACAAGTTCCAGTCATTGCTTTCATCAAAGCCAAACTGTTTGAAACAACCCTCAAACTCGGGTTATTTTAAAACGAATACACAGGGGGATAAAATTGGCCATAGTGAAATTGGCGAGGACTTGGTGTACATTAAAAACCGTGGTGCACAATTGGAAATTTATATAAGAGGTCACAATTATGCCCATTTTATCACAGAGGTATCACAAACAGTCATATTACAGTAGATTTCTATCGCGGGTGATCACAGTGCTATCACGGATGGTCACACCTCCCCCCGAAAAGCTATCACGTTTGGTCACTCGATGAAACGATCATAATTAATGTGAAACCACGAAAGAAACAGTAGAATTTTTGGGGAATCCCAACCTTGATTGCTTGTTACCTAGCACATTATTCTAGCCCTGACATTTAGGGAATTAAAGAAAAAAAATAAACCCCTATTGGATGGCACGTCCTTCGGGAGGCATCAGCCCTAAACACTATGCGACAAGGTGTTTAGGTTTGATGCTCCCGAATCATATCCTATCCGAATGGGTTTTAGTATTTGTATTGGGAACAAAAATTAACCTTAGAGTTTCACCCGTCAAAAAGGGATATTTTAAGGAACATTATGCATCGATCGAATTGTGGACATTCGAATAGTTAAGAAGAAATTGCAGGTGATTTTAAACGAGCTACCGAGAGTTGTCGCGAAACTTTTTCGTATCACTACGGACAAAACGGCGCGCGCGATAAAATTTCTCCTGAATCCCTACAGTTGCTCGAGTAGTTACAATTCTCGATTGGGCGTTTCATCTGTGACCAAACGTGATAGACTTGCGGGGCAAGGTGTAACTATCCGTGATAACACTGTGATCACGTACGATAGTTACGAGGTGTACTGTGACTGTTTGTGATACCCCTGTGACCAAATGTGATAAATCGGGCCGAATTGTGACTACCCATATGATTTCCCTGCAACATTCTTAGGAACAAGGACAAACCGTTTTTTTTCTTGTTCGTTCCTGGTCGTCAATTGGCTGTACGTGGTGTTGCGATGAATAGAAAATGGAGACTTCGAATGTAAGGGGGAAGGGGACGGCGTGGCGGAGGAAAGGGGGGAACACACAGACCAACCGAAATCGAACACCATCAATACACCCTCACCTAAGACAAACCCGATATTACAACAAAGCTGAGTACCATAATATATAATATTTTGTGACTCCAATGCACATTTGAGCAAGTTTGCAAAACTATCAAAATTGTCTTCATTATTTTAACATACATAGACTTCACAAATGACAGGTAAACATGAGATTTTAAAACTCCTACATGGGATTATCCAATAGGAGCCAAATCTCACCCTCAAGAGCCGTAGAAGTGAAGGGAAGGGAAGGATATGAGCCGTAGAAGTGAAGGGAAGCAGTGGGGTGGGTGAAGGGAAGCAGCGGAGTTGGGAGCGGTGGAGCAGAGGGTTGGGATGCCGTCTCGTCTGCCACAGCTGCTGCTCGCCATCACTGCACAATGCCATCATCGCATGAGCTCGCTGCTGCTCACAGTTATCGTGCTTACAGGATGGGAACTGAGGTATGATGGGCAAGGGACAGTGGCCAAGCGAAGCTGCTGCTCTGGGCTGGGCTGGATGAGGGGACATAGTGGAAAGGGAAGGGACGGACATGCGGAATGGGGAGGGGCAGGAGAGGAGGGAAAGGGATGGCCGGGGGAAGGGTGAATGGTGGGACGGGATAGTGGGAAAGGGAAGGGATGGGAAAGATGGAAAGGAAGGGTTTAGGAAAAGGGGAAATGAGCAGAGGGTTGGGAGAGGGGGAGCTGTGGATTGGGAGAGGGGAAGCAGTGGGTTGGTTGGGAGAGGGGAAAGGACAGGTGTAAGGAGAAAGGCTCAGGGGGAATGGGATAGGACAGGGGGAAGGAGAAATGGACAGGGGGAATTGGATAGGGCAGGGGAGGGACAGGAGAGGAGGGAAAGGGATGGCCGGGAGAAGGGTGAATGGTGGGACGGGATAGTGGGAATGGGAAGGGATGTGAGAGAGGGAAAGGAAGGGTTCAGGAAAGGGGGAAATGAGCAGGAAAAGCAGCGACGGTAGTGGGGGAAAAGAGACGAATGGGGGCAAGGGGACGGATGAGAGCAGGGGGAAGCAGTGGGTTGGGAGAGGGGAAAGGAGGGAGGGAGAAGAAGGGGAGGGAAAGACAGGGGGAAAGGGAAGAAAGGACAGGGGGGAGAGTGGATAAAACATCAGGAGGAACGAAAACGATGAAAGGGAGGGAAGGACAAGGGGAAAGGGAGAGAATGACAGGGGGAAAGGGTGGGAAGGACATGGAGAAAAGGAGGGAAGGACAAGGGGGAAGGGATAGAAGGAGTCATCCCAAAACATCAGGGCGGCTCGACAGAGTAGCTACCGCATAATTGCTAACTACGTTTATTGCGTGCGCAATGTTGGCGGAAGCAATGTATATACAGGTTTTTTTACTAACCCCATACTCCCTCGACCCCGATACTGTCAGGATATTGGATGTGCTCTGCTCCTACTTCCCCTCGCGAGAGTTGCTACATGCAACATGTATAGTCCATAGTACAGTCCCCTGTTACTGGATACAACGAAGACGGGACTACACCTGTACATTGTGATATCTGAAATGTAGCTTCTCACCACACACATGGTATGTACAGAGGGGCTTTAAGGGCTACACATAAAAACAAGCACCTGCCTGTAACAGTTACACAGACACACGGTTACAATGTTACTGACAACACATAATATTACACTGTTACATTGTTGCCTGGTAACTTCTTTGGTGACATGGTCACAATATTATCAGCGTTACAAAACCGTTACTGCTTTTGAGTGAAATTCATTATTTATAAAATCGGGTTACAAATATACATTATACCAATACAGACTCCGTCCCTACGAAGGAATCGTCTTCACGTAGAGTGGTCCTACCAAGTGACCGAACCTAACCGGCACAAGCGATAAACACAAGAGTCAGAAATCCACAATTTACAGAGCGCCAAGTACTTACCATGGTTCAGCCACCACTTTCCTCAAAATACTGAATGGAACCGATAATAAAAAACATAACACATTTCGCACGGTCGAACTTTTATCATGCAACATCGCGACAACTAGAAGAACCGGTAGTGATGGGAGAGCAGGCAACCAGAAGTTCAGGTTAGCTGAACAGAAAACAGAAACCAAATAGTGAATAAGCACAACCACAGTTGGAAATTCACAGATAACCAACGTAAAGCTTTTCGCCTACCGCAGCCCGCACTCCATCGCCCATATTGCCACGCTCAAACCACCACGCCTAAAACGCCACGGTATATCGCCACGCCCATATCGCCACGGGCAAATCTCGTGAATTCTGCAAGGTAAACAAAATAGCCTGCAAAGCCAGCGACATACAAGAAGTTAACGTTAGGAGAAGAGACAGCGGAAACCAAATACAGGGCTTAATGTAGTAGCAACGCTGCCGCAGCACGCACGCCTTCGCCCATATCGCCACGCCCATATCACGACGCCCACATCGCCACGATCGTATCGTCACGCCCATTCCGCCACGCCCCTATCGCCATGCCCATATCACCACGCTTAAATCGCTTACCATAAGGTAGATGAAAGCGACGGAAACTCAACAAGCAACGCTTTCTAAGGTGAGGAACAATAAGGGCGTGGTCTTGCGGGTAAAGCGGAAGAGATAGAAAGTAAACAAGAACTGTACGGAAGCTAAGAAACGAAACGAGGAGATGAAGTTGGTGTGTTGGATGCTCTCTGTTATGTGTACGTGGCTCCACCGTATTCTGGGCTTGGTGGAGCTTGAACCAATCGAAAGCTCCATAACATTATCTTTTGCATCTCTCGATCGTAGCCTTTCAATGACAGAAGTATCGACGGCTGAAATGTTCTATCTAGCCAAAATAGATATGCAGCACAGCATGGTAAAAAAATCAACGGTTTAAGATCGGACATCACTTGCATCAACGGTTGTAATTCCAACTTGCTGAAATCCTTTGAGATTAGTCAGCTGCGATCTTGACCATCCAGAAAGTTAAAGATCGACGGTGCCGATTCATTTCCCAACGATATAGAACAGTTAATCTTAACCGTAGAAGGAATCTCTGATCGACGGCTAACATTCCAACCTGCACAAAACTTCATCGTTTTGAACAGAGCGCTCAGACTCGATCTGAACCGTCAATGTTCATAATCGACGGTTCTCGACTTTTTTCTACTTAAGTTGCGCCGAAATCCGCGTAAGCTGCTGTCTTCATGCGTGCGGTACGTTTTCGCATCTATTTATAACGCTTTGTGTTATTCTTGGTGCTTCAAAACGGGATTCTAACGCAAGAAGCATTGTATTTGTTAGTCATTATACTGAATATTCGGACCATGTTTCCTTCGAAGTACAGGCCTGGTAGGATCATTGTAGGTAAGGAACCTCAACGACAATGTAGGGTCGAACAATGTTAACTTGCTCGACAGGCGAAGCATGTACGTAGTCGTCACCTTCTTCGATGTACATTCATCCGACTCTATAGCAAGGTAGGTTCCGCATGCTTAGTTCGTTCTAGGGTGGGCGAATATTATGCATCTTCATAAACCATACTCAACACTCACCACAGACGTGCGTACGAAGTCCCCACTCTGTAGTTCGGTACCCCAACCCCCCAACCAAATGTTTTGGGATGCACAATCACCTCCATCCCAAAATTGATGCCTTCCCAAAAGTAACTTCAATTTTAGTTACTTCAGCGAAGTAACATTTGCTAGGCAATTGAGCTTCGCGGGGTTCCGAAATGATCCCCACTGAACCTGCATTCCGAACGGTGCTTCGTTTTTTGTCAGGGACTTCATGACTCTGGCTTGGCGCCAAACTGCTTGCAGCGTGTTTTGTCGCGCGCGTCACGTTTGAACCACGACCAGTTACATTAGGTGCTGAACTGGCGCGAAATTGTTTCCCACCATAGTGACGCGATATCTGCTTGTCACTGCGTTACAGAGCTGTGTTCGTTTTCTGCATTGAAAAATGTACCTTTCTGTACTCACAGGTTACCAACTATACAGAATATTTGTTCTATAAAAAACCAAACAATCGAAGTATCTATGCATGATACTTTCTCTATGGTTAAAATGGTACTATGAACTAACCTCCCAATTTTCAGCAACGCTTTTCCAAGAGTATGGATATTCTGCACATTAACGTGTTGCATTGACTAGATTACATTTTTTTCTTCTATTGTCCGGGTTGCACCAAATTTATACTGCATGCTTGCGATATAGTACATGTCTGAATGATGAAAACAAACCTTGTTGTAAATAATAATCAGATGGCGAGGCGGCATCACGTGTCGTACAGGCCGATCCTTACACATTTTTCCTTGAACAAATGTTCGAAACATCATATCTTCCGACCAGTTGCGGCGAATGACACCAGACTTGTCCTGTAAGCTTGCAATATACTAGAATGCTTGAATGAGCAAAACAAACCTTGTTAAAAACATCAAACGGACGTCGAAATGACACGACGTGTCGCACTGGCCTATCATTGCAGAGTTTTCAACATTTGGATGTTGTTTTTAGCACTATTTCTTCTCACATTCAGGTAATAAAACTTGTTACATTGCCATAGGAGCTGGTTTGAGGTCGTTCGCCAAAATACCCAGCACATGACGCTTGTTTGTGCGTTTGCTCACCTGAAACTGTGCAAGGATAGGCATTTGCGCAACACGTCACCGTTTCAACGTTTGGATGTTGTTTTTATCACTATTTCTTCACACATTCAGGTAGTACATCCTATTATCTTGCCATAGGAACTAGTTTGAGGTCGTTCGTCAAAATACACAACACGTGACGCTTGTTTGTGCGTATGCTGGCCTGAAGCTATGCAAGGATAGGCCTGTGCGCAACATGTCACTGCGTCTGAATGCTTTTTTTACCACTATTTCTTCACATATTCAGGTATTACATCCTATTATCTTGCGATAGGAACTAGTTTGAGGTCGTTGTCAGAATGAACAAGGGTGGATGCACTAGGAAAGGGGTGGGTACAAGTAGGAAAACCTAAAACTGTTGTACCCTATAGGAACTACCCCACTACAGCCTAAACAGACTATAGCATATAAGTTTGACACACCCCCATACGCAAAGTGGGGGAGAGCAAGGGGTCACAAGACCAGTCAAGAAAAGCAAAGCAAGCCCAGGGTGGATCACAACGTCAACACGCATTCTGAGCACAAGTAGATGGCCACAAGGCCAGTTCACATGCAGAGTTATACAACAGTGATCAAAACCTAGCAAGTGAAAGCATGCAGGTATAGATATATAGATCACAGTACAAGCAAAGTCAAGAAGTGAGCAAGTGAGGCAAGGTAGGCACAAGGCCTAGAACAGACAGAAACGCTGATGATCACAAGGCGGAAGTGCCTTGGTGAAGATATCAGCAGTGTTGGCCCGAGAGGCCACGTAAGCAAGACGAAGCTGACTGCGCTGCTGCAACTCTCAAGCAAGAAAGTAGTGAAGGGCAATGTGCTTCGTTCTGTGCTCCAGTCTGTGCTCCTAACACAAGGCCAGCATGGCCTTGTTGTCGACGTACAGAACTGGAGGAGAACGAGGCGCCTCTCCCAAGTCGGTCAGCAGGTAGGTGAGCCAGCGTAACTCCTGTGCAGCCATGGCCCCTGCATAGATCTCAGCCTCACAGCTGGAGCTGAGAACAGAAGACGAGCGGGTAGACCGCCACGAAACAGAACCGGAGCCAAGGTTGAAGGTGTAACCCTGCGACGACCGCTGCGTAGCCAAGTCGTCAACCCAAGAAGCGTCTGCGTGACCAGTGAGGAAAACTCGAGCCCGTCCTCCAAGCACTAGCCCCATGCCCGACGCACTGCACAGGTAGCGCAACACCCTCTTCGCTGCAGCCATGTGCTCTGGTCGGTGTCTCCCAAGAGCAACAAAGCGTTCCAAGATGCTAAGAGGGTATGCCAAGTCAGGTCGAGTGCAGGTCATCAGGTACATGAGGCAGCCAACAAGCTCATGGGGACCCAGTGAAGCCAGGTGGGCGGCGCAGCCAAATCTGTAGGAAAGCAGTGCTGAAGTCAAGAGAGTGAAGCTCGTAGTCACGCTGAGTAGCGACGTGCAGCAGAACCCGAAGAGTGGTCATCTTCGGGGTCGGGGAGAAGGTCTGGAAGAAGTCAGCTCCATGTCGCTGACTGAAGCCTCGAGCAACGTAACGCGCCTTGAAGACAGGCGGAGAACCCGGCGGCCGCTTCACTCTGAAAATCCACATGCCACTGACGATGTTCGCCCCAGGAGGGGGAACCTCGTCAACGTAGGTGCCTGTGGACTTCCAGGATGCCATCTCTGCGTCCATGGCTGAC